CTATAAATAACCTGGATGGGACTTAATGACCTTAGAGGCAGGAAGCAGCTCTGCCTTTGGATGCTAAATGAGGCATCAGTTTGCAGAAGGTTTAGAGTTATTCTCTGGGATTAGCAAATGATTTAACTAAACTTCAGAATGAATTTTGTTTTTATGCCCAAATGAGGAAATAAATGATTGATCATCAAACGCTGGAGCGCGAGTTTAAACATTTATGTAGAAATAATAAAAAAGAAACCTGCAGGTGTAGCTTTGATGTTAAGTAGAAATCCTCTGACCAATCAGAACCAGCGTCCCTCTGTAGATCTACAGCATCTAGTTTAAAGCTCACCATTCGGACCAGTTCACCCACAGCAGCACGGCGCTCTGCTGGGAACAGAAACCAGACTCCTGTTTGAGCTCTGCAGCTGCTGACCGGGAGGAACCTGAAGCTCCATCCAGGTTCTAACGGGTTCCTGCTGCGTAGAACCACAGATTAGCAAACATTAAACGCATCATAAAGATCTGCGGACCTGAACGATAAACCGCACTCAGAAATCCCAGGAGGCGTCCCCCAAGGCGCCATCAGAGGGGCCCTCCTGTTCACTATCTCCATGCAACTCAGACCTTAGTAAACAACATCCGTTACCATAGCGATGCAGACAAAACACAGCCGCATCCTCACTAGAACTATTGAAACTAGATAAGATCAGCTCAGTTCTACAGTCCTTCCTCTGGCTCCTCACATCTCATACTTCTGTTAGTCTAGAAATCACTAAATAGATCAGTTCTAGAATCCATTACAGACTGCTTGGCAGGGGATCGACAGCCAGACCTCTCAGCTCTACTGGATCAGAACCAAACATAGAGAAGCAGCTTCTAGTTCTTCAGCTCCACTGATCTGGAATAAACTCTGGAAAAAATTAAAGTTTATTCTGAATGAGACGCTGAAATATTGGAGTTTAGTTTCAGTCCAACTTTCCATCGTTTTATCTGTTATTTTCTAATATTTTTATTGTTTTCTTCCCACCTGTTCCTCTAAATAAAGCTGTCCTCCTGCGTCCTCCTGTCTCCAGAGGACAGAGCTGTCTACGTCACAGCAGCCATCTGTCTCCCTCAGTGCTTCTAACAGGGCTGACTCAGACGCCTGTGATTCTATACCTTTACTGCTTGCCGTAGCTGCTGAGTCAGAGCAGGAGGAGAACATCTGATCTGCATCTCTAACAGTCAGGACTGAATCAAGGTACCTTTCTGCTGGCGGTGGGCTCCTCACTGGGGGAGGGGGTCCCTTCCTCCAGCGATGCTGGGGGGGCTGGAGAAGAAGACATCATCATCATCATCATCCTCTGTCCCCGAGAGCTCCGGACAGCTGTCCTCTCCTGTCCTCTCCTGTCCTCCAGGATGAAGGACCTGCTTCCTGTCCGGTCACAGAGGCTCTCTGTCCCTCCTCCTGGTCACCATGTGTTGTCAGTCCAGCCGGAGCTGATGACGTTACACCCCCCCCTCGGTGTGACATAAATTCCCCCCCCCCCCTTCTAACCGGAACCGTGCTGCCTTCCAGGTCTTCTACCAGAGTTGGAACTTCCACCTCCGGATGGGGAGCTTTAACTGGGACAACATGGCTTCCACTTCAGCTGGGAGCAAAATCCCTTTAAAGGTTTTTGCTTTTTCCCCAAACTGATCTAAGCAGAGGCTGAGAAATGTGATGGAAAAATTAAAAAGGACTAAAAATGAGAAAAAGAGAAAAGATGTAATTACAGAAAATACAAAATAGCTAAATCTAAACATAAACTGATTTCAGATAAT